ATTTTATGTATGAAAGGTGCTGTATAAATAAGATGTAATTTTATTTTAACACATGAGTGGGACAAATGAAAGAACAACCTGTAACCATAATGCCTCTGGCTATGGCTGTCTACAGTGCGGCGGTGTAAAATGAATTTACAATTTAGTTACTGTCTAAATTAGTCGTAGCTAGTATAGTAGATGTAATCATATGTGCACACACACACACACACACACACACACACACACTATAGTTCATGACCTCTCGTTTGACGGCAGTAAACTTTAATGTGCAGTGGCAGCTCAACCAACTGGTTTGCAGGTTTAACACACAGCAGCAGCAGCAGACCTGGTTCAGCAGGCGCTAACAAACTCAGAATGTGGGTCTGATTGAAAGTAATTTGCTTTGATTAGCTGATCCCACTATACACACTGCTTCGAGCAATAGCTCACAGTCTTCAAGCCACTACTATCATGAACCTCGCAGCTACAGGTGTGATGTCATGGATTGATCATTTTATGTTAATCCAAGTGCTGAAAATCATCTGAAAAATAGAAAATCAATAAAGGCCTCGTACAAACATCAAATTGAGTGTGCAGTATAATGTTTGACTAAGTCACAGGATATAAAACATTAAAGAGTAACAGACGAATGGTTCTCCCTGTTTCTCACACCCTGTGCAGCAGTGACTTGCATGGTGCCACAGTGTCTGTACAGCAGGCTACACATGACCACACCTATCTGTATTGTTGACTTTCACATAATTGCCCTAATATTTTTAACATTTCTTTGTTTCTATAATTCTATATCAAGGGATAATACTGTATATTTTCTTATCATGATAATCTTTTGAACATGTACTTGTTTTTATTCTACTTAATAGCAGGTTGACGATTCAGAATAACATCAATGGTGGGTCTGTTTATTTGTAAAATGTTGGGTTATTCAGCATTTTATTTCATCGACAGTATTGTGTCATGCAAAGTGATTGCCTTGTCAGTGAATACCGATGGGGTATAAGACAGAAGCAACGTTTCTCGTCTTCTACATGGAAAGATTTTCTCTCCAGGGTCTCTAGTGTCCCCACAGATTTTGTGAATATTGAGCAAACCTGTAGAGCTTTCTTTCTTTATAATGATGTACATTAACATTTTTTTTTAGGGCTGGTTGCTAATTCTAACTGGAACTATGCTCCATCTCACCATTTGGACAAGAGCAAATCTTGGTTAACTTTCATTCACTTTGTAAGTGCCTCAGTGAAGAAAGAAAACAGTTTGAGGTCTTTCTCTGTATAATGAAATTTATAACCTGGAGCAGTATTTTTATTATTATTCTTATTATCATTTTTATCATTATTATAATATCCCTGTAAAGAATGATGGACCAACTGTTAAAGGACAATAAAAATCATAATCCTGCTCTTGGTCTTGTTTTAGATTTGGAAGTGCTGCATCATTAATAATGTGCAGGTTGCATGATACTATTTTTCTTTTGAAATTCTGCTTTTATAAACACAACGTGCAGAGTGTATGTGTATCTAAATATTACAGGCAGATGTAAAAATGCCTTTCTGTACTACCTCAGTAACAGTGGGAGAGTCGGCGCTCATTCTCCTCGGTGCAGTAATTGGTTGGTCATGTCAGGAAGATGGTGAGAAATTGACAAGTAACAGAAAATTCCTCCCTCCTGTTGTGATCATTTGCTACTGCTGAGTATTAAAAATGACGCATTAAAAGAGCACTGCCTCGAAGCACTCTACTAAAACCAATGTGAGTCCATTTTAATAGCACATTGTCTGCTCATCAGAGCCAACAGTTGATAGGTAATACCATTAATTAGCTGTGCAGTCCTAACAGCAGGGCGAGGAGTGATGCAGGGACTCCTGTCTTGGCAAACGGAGTTCACAACCTTTCACTGGCTGTATTAAGGTGCTGTCTTGCTAGTAAATGAAATAGACATTATATGTGTGATAAACTGTTAAAAGTATTTGAAAACTGTCAAGCCATCTTCTGCCTATTGATTTTTACTCCAACATACTTACTGGTTTTAATACAAGGAGCTATGGCTAAAGGATGGTTGTGGTTCTGCAGAGAATAATCCATACTTTTATCACTCCATGCATTTTCTAAAAGCAGGCCAGTCTGGAGAAGTGAGAGCGATGTAGAAGTCAGTGTACCTGGCAGGGCAGGTTGAGAGCTTCTTGCTAAGCAGCACCCTGTTTTTAATTATATATGAGGCAGAACTCACAGTGACAGAGAGGGAGTGCTCCTGGGAGCGAGGCCTCAGTGGCACATGAACACAGGGTGATTGACCAAGTCACTAAGAGGTCCCGTCACTCACATTTGAGTGGGCATTGACCCACTCGGCTGCCAGAGCCCTTGAGAGGACGGGCGAGGAGAAGGTGGGGTGCCCTGTACATCCACAGTCCTCCCATGTGGGGTGGAATTTCTGTCTGCATCAATTATTCAAGAACCATCTTAGATAACACTCGCAGGGAGGATGGATGAGGTCTATTTCTGTATGGTACTTCATAAGGATGAAGACAGGAGGCATTTTTTATTTTGCGTGCTGGTGCTTCAGACGCTGGATAACCAGTGCTCTCCTCCGTGCAACTCAGGTAAAACCTGAAGTGTCTTTGAAATATGCTCTTATCACACTCTCCATTCTTTACTCAATGCCGATATTCTCAGATGTCAGCACTTTGTAGAGGATCTGAGGAACACACTTATTTCCTGGCTTCTATGAAGTTTAATGTACAGTAGGTGTTGCAAATAGGGATCCCTGTGTGACAAAAGCCTCAGTCTTTTCACACGGCAAGGTCCCCTGAATGATCCTCCTGTTGCCTGTTCAGGTTTCTGGGCCTCCCTGATGGTTTTCCATACGTGTCATTTTCTGTCATGAGTAACCAGACACAGGTGAGGAATACAGCAGCTGGTGCGTTTTCTGGCCTCACCTCCTGAAGAACAACATGTTGCAATACACAGCAGCGCAGCACATCACAGCTGTGTGTGGTCACAAGTCCAAGAGTTGCATTGACACTTCCAGCGCAGTCTCACTTTAAACTTCACACAGTCCTTTAATAGCAAATCTTTACTGAACACTGAATACAACAACTATAATGACTGTGACACACAAGCCAGGCAAAGGTAAACACTGACTATTAGAAGATGCATCAGATGCATCAGTTGATGATGCTGATCGACCAATATGAACCATTTATAGTCAAACCTCAATTACATTTCTTTTGTCCTTTAAACATTTATTGGCAAATATATTGGTATCAAAAATGTTTTACGGACCCCCAAAGTCAAATTTTTTGATTCTCACTCCCACTTTTTCTATAGATGAACTCTCTCTAGAATAAGCAGTTGCAATACACGAAGAGTAAAGCAGCCCATCAAATCCCATCAAAGGGGATGAAAGTCAAGTGGTCTCATTCAGCTGAAACAATCAATACAACAAAAATGTATTAGAATTATTGTGTTTGTGGTGTAGCTGTCCAGCTTAGATATCCTAAACTAATTCATGTTCTTTAATGAATTACTGACAGTGTGTGATATTTTGGCTTTACATTTTTTTATTGAGTCAAATAAAACCTTGTTTAAATAATGTTGTATTGTGACAACAATTACTATAGTTGAATTGAAAATAACCTGTATTTTTAAAATGAATAATGACGACTATATTCTTGAACTATTTGTTCAAGCAAATCTGCATTTGCAATAAGCACTACTGTTTATGAATTATTAACTAATTAGAAGTTCTGTGAGTTGGACTTAAATGAGATTTACTTTTCTGCATGATATGAGTTGGAAAGGAACACATTAAATACATCATAGAAATGTTCAGCATAGAAATGTTCTCCAGAGATTTGATATGAGATTTGTTGGCAAACAAATGTTTAGTTAATGACTTTTTCTGTGACATGACAAATGCAGAAATAGGTTTGGAATCGTTTTTGAAATGAAGCGTTGACAGCAGTTGTTTGCTTTGTGTGCACGCTGTGGCTGGTGCACGCATTCATGTTGATGCGTGATGTTTTGTGTGCTCACACAGTGCTGCTCATTCATGTCAAAGGATCTGAGACATTTGATTGTGACAGAATATTTTCCATGCACATACAGTCATTTCTGTCACACTCTAGAATTTTTGGTTGGAGTCCTGTGCATCGGCTGTGATGCAGCGCGGAGACACGGAGGGATGTATACCGGGGTCATATGTGACCTGGGCTGGTCTCTGGTGAACATGGTTCTACTACACTGCTCCTGTCAGTCAGTTTCGGGGAAAAGGCTTGGAGAGAGTGAAGACACACTGAGAGACGGAGCCCCACTGCACGGCAGTCAGACAAGTATTCCCTCCAGTCAATCACAACCCACAGAACCGCTCAAATGATGCAGGATCTCTCGAGAGGCCTGCAGGGTGGAACTGGGTGAAGGAGGACCTAATGTCACACTCGCTACACTGAGGTTGGTTCCTATCAATTATCATAGGTGACACGAGGACTTAGCAAACTGCCTCTGAACTATGTAGCACTCTGAGATGACCATATTAGTGGTCTAAGTAAAACAAGCATCACTGGGACTCTGTGGAAGGTGTTAATCCCTGACTAATGAACTCTGCCTCTGCCAGTAGCTTCCCTGTTGCATCCCTGGACATCTCCGCCTGTGTGTGCGCATGTGTGTTTCTGTATGTGTGTGGGTTAGAGGATTCAGTTTGAGAGGAACGCACTCCACTCTCCCGTCCCTCAGCCTGACAGGCAGAATTCAGCCACACAATTTCACGGTTTGTGGGCAGTGCACACCACTGCCTTCCCATCCCTGAGACCCACAGATCCAGTGAGTGTGTGTGTGAGTGTCGAGGTGTGTGTTAGCCTGTCCATATGAACACGAAAGCACACACACACACACACACACACGCACACACACACACACGATCCCCTATTAATGCTAGAGGAAAGGAGAAATCAAATATTAATCCTTCAACAACCACCTGGAATTGAAAAAAAAATGAGTGGACTTACCATTTTGTTATTGATTTCATGAAAATGAATTTCACAGACTTTCTCTACGATGTCTTCACTCTCAAAAGTTATGAAACCAAATCCTATGCAGAGAGAAACAGAGAAGGGGGGGGAGGAAAAGGAGGGAGAGAATGAGTTATGGGTTAGAGGAGAACCTTAACAAAACTCCAGTAACTAAAAGAAAATGCACCACAAGATGGAACATTATCACGAGCCAGATGCAGAAACTATGCGCGTACATCTGTGGAGATCGGCTTGGGCATGGAAAAGAACAAGTGAACAAGACAGACATTGTCCTGTTTAAATCAAGAATATGATGAAATCTGCCACATTATTAAGGGCACTCGAGGACCTCTTCTACAAAGAGAAGATGGAAAAACAGCACAAAGCTCATTTAATGAGATTCAGGGAGCTGGGGCCCAGCATCTGAATTTCATTAAATGCATTTTGTGTTCTTTTTATTGAAATCTCACTGTATAACAAGCTCTGGTTTTTATGTTAATGCAGGCCTTAGAATGAATGTGTCATTGACAGTGGGATTTTCATGCCATATTTATAGGATAAAAGCTTAACCCCTCTTTTGATACAAAGACACAGAGACAAGATGGTTTCAGACTTTTGAACACAAGTGGATTGCAATGCTCTCCTCTGTGTTTTGATGGTGATGCACAAAGCAATCTAGCTGCGGTGTATAGCAGGGGCTGAAAGGAAAACTGATATTCTATTACGTTTGCAAAAGAGGAAACGGCACAAAAGAGAAACAGTTAGTGAATAAAGCAGCAAGTGGGACTGAAAGGAGATGAGTTCCTTTTCAAAACGGCAAACAGCCGATGATGAAATAAAATCACATCAGATTGAGCTTAAACAGTGGGACACTGTGAACAACGCGCCATGTGACTGACACACACTCCGCAGAGAGCAGCGTCAGTTTATTCTCTAGGAACGACAGATGATACCGTAAGAACACTAACATGCTGAATGTGAAAAAAACACTAATACTCCAATATACACCAAATTTGACTTTAAGTGAATATTATCCTTTTGCCCACATTCATACAGGTTAAGATAAAATCCATGTGTTCAGAGTCCTCATCTGCTTCACAGGACACAATTTCAAGGTCAAAGAAGCTCTTCAAAGCCTGGTATCCACCACATAACATCACATCACACAACATTTACTGTAGGATGCACAAAGGAAAGATATTTGTCAACTGTCAGGGAGTTTTTATACTGACATAATTCATCCCTTTGATATATCTGTTTGTATTGGGCCATTGCTGGTTCTGTGGCAAATCAATGGGCAGAGCTTCTTTATTGCAGCATTGCGTAAATAGGATTTTTTTTTTTTTGCCTTTACCTACCACATCAAAAAATGTTTACCATGTCAATGTTTGGTGTATTTCTTGTCAGCACAAAACTGCCTGTATGACCAGATAAATTCATTTTTTCACATATACATAATATACTGGTCCCAAAAAACAAGACACGTCACACGATTTGATCACGGTAGCGTAATCAAGGTGATCAAAAAAAGTTATTTGTCATTTATTTAATTTCTTAGATAAACCAATTCCAGACCTGCTAGTCAATATATGTGCACCATACTGATCATACGATACTAATGTAAGAATCACACATTATGTATAACCTAATGTGAGCATGTTGTATGGTAAATATTTGCACATGTAGAAGTGTATTATATGACATTAGTCTCCAAAATAGCTTATTTTATCAATTCCTCATATGTTTCAGAAAAATACAGGTTTCTTTGTCAGTGGAGGTTAATGTTGCAACCTATCACAAACACTGACATTTACAGTTCTGTCATACAGTCTTTATCTCACACTCTCATTTTTCATTTCTGCTCCTCCTCCTCCTCCTCCAACATAAATAACAAAAACAGTCAAGCCACTCGTCTGCTACCGACACAAGCTGGAACGTACTATAACCGTCTTGTCAAATGAAGGGTCGGAAACCTAATGTGTGAGCTAATTAAACACGGACAACAGCTAATCTAATGAGATCTTGTGAGACAGAATATCAGTTTCCATTGAGACGTCTCAATGCCGAGTTGTGGCGAGAGCTTGATGCACATGTGCAGGTTTGGGTAGACAAGAGACCGGTGATGACGACAGGCAGGAACAGGAGAGGGGGTTGGGAGTGGGATGCACCCTTTCCTCCCTCCCACCCCACCTTCATGCCAGCGCAGGGAGCACTTTTGACAACCAACAAATCAACCGCCAGGAGTAATTTGTCACAGAGGAGTGTAGGTAGAGGGAGTGGAGTCTGGGGGGGAACGAGGGCGCAGAGGGAAAGAGAAAAAGGTGAAGATGAAAGGAGAGAGGGGGGTGGGGAAAAAGACAGAAAAAGTGACAAGGAAAGAGGTTAACACACATGGCCCCTGTCGCCACACTCCTTCCTGCTGCTACAGGCAGCTCCTCCATCAACTGACAGGACATTTTCCAGTGCACCATTATATCCACTGGGGTCAGGGCCAAGCCGCACCACCACAGATACCACCAGCAGGGCCCTTCCACCCATGAGTGGATCTGTTTAAATGAACAGAAAGGCATTTTGCTGTAGCGTAAACTACTCTAGGAATGTGTATGCACACAAACGTAAAAGAAAATCCCACAACAATCCGCCCTATTATTCTGTTTCCTCGGCTCAGCACACGCCTCCTAGGCCCGGACCCCCGTGGGCTGAGTGAACCTCTGGCCCCACCACTTCAGTCATTTCCTCTACCATCCTATTTTACAGACCATACAGACAATTACAGGCCACAAAATAGCACCAGCAGAAGCATTTCTGTCTCCCATTCTCCGGTCAGCAGAGCGAGATTATCCTCACGTATCCAGGCCCTGCTAGACTATTAAATACTGTCAACACTGACAGACACAAGGAGAAAGGTGTCAACATGCTCGCGCCGAAGAAGCTTCCCACTGCTTGAACAATACCCTGTAAATGGAAACACATAGATGTCTGATAGGACGGACGATAATAGGTGTTGTGTGGCGAGTGGCCGAGGCTTCGTGGCTGAACTTGCTCACACCTATTAGCCAGAACTGAGCTCGGCCTCATCTCGTTGCTCCACAGAATCAGCAGGGGGCCAGATTCACGGCCTTTTACCAGCTTCATCTCACTCGCTCTTTATTTCACACTCATTCCAGCTTCTTTGCTTCTGTCACTCCAGTGGAAAAAAGCTGATTCTGCCAGAAAATGAGAGAACTTGCAAAGTGATGCAGCCGAGCCGACTTTAACTTGAAAAAGTTGTGTTGCAGCTTTAAATTAAAATTTGTATAAAACTTAAAATTAAACTATAACAGGTTTATGGCCATTTTAAAAATGTGTTTAAAGGTGTTTTTTACTGATCTGAAATGACTTCCAGATGCACAACACAGGTATTTTCAAAAACATGCTTTTTTCAGTACACACACACACACACAGTTGGACAAACCACAAAATGTGGCTGAGTGAGGTGTTGGGCCACCAGGAGCCTCCAGGGCAGCTTCAGCTTCAGTAACCCTTGACACAGACACTTCAAGTCTGTGAAACTCTACTGGAGGGTTGAACGCACCATTCTTCCAAAATATATTCCCTCATGATGGCGGCATAGCGTGATGACAAACACGTCAATCCAAAAACTGACTCGAGGCGTTCAGTTGACATCTGGTGAATGCCACAGCCCCTGATTCACCTCAGTCTGATCAATATATATAATCTAATGTTTAATAAAGCTGATATACTGAGCTGATTATATGCAAAGCCAGTAGAGAGGTTCATTGTTGACACTAGTTGGATCAAACCACACATATTTAATGCCCCATAAATTCAGTGAATAATCGTAAACTTTGATATTTTAGAACAAAATGGGTCATTAGAGTGGCTGCAGCCTCTTGGACATACAGAACCATAACCACATAGATCAGATGCTTCGACAATAAGGACTTTGCTGCTCCTGATTAACACTGGAGCCTGCTGCTGTGTATACCAGCCCTGTCAAAACAGGGCAAGGAAGTGAGACGACCTGGGGGAAGTGTCAGTCGTGTCCTCTGGCACACAGCATGAAGGGAATGGAGCCCCCCTACCATGCGCTGCACAAACACTAACACAAATACAGAAGACACACACATGCACTTGCTATACATACACAAGCACATGTAGGTGCATCTTATCTGGAGCAACAACTGTTCCTCCTCTCCTTCCCCCCGCTGAATTGCTTATCCTTTTCTAATTATGCATGATCAAGCCTTTGTCTGTCCACTCAGGCGTAAGTCTACAGAAGGTTCCCGCACTGCATGTCTGCCTGTGCACTCCAGCCTCTAGGCCTCATCATCTTGTAATGCAGAGAAGCAGACAGAGGCAGTCTGCACACCCACGGCGCAGTTAGAGGCCTTTGATCAGTGTTTCCGCCTGCTATTACTCGAGATCCAGAGCCCTGGGCGTTAATCCCCTGTTGAATACAGTTAACACCAGGAACTTTCTACCCGCACGGAGCACATATGGCCAACAACAGACGCAGAGTGAAATAATACAAGGAAACGGCTAAAATTTCTTAAAAAACTGAACAAAAATAAATGCCTTGTCAACAGTACACACAATAATCAGAATTAATATTTAAAAATAAAGATTGTAAAGGTTGACAGTTAAAAGCAGGGGAAAATCCCTCTATGTCCCATGCACTTATATCACATTTATGCATGTCATTGAGGTGTGTCTTCTCCCTACTGTTGTTTGTGCTTTTCATCTCTGTCCTCAGTGTGCTGGTTCACCGACTCCAGAGCTACAGGATCCAAAACTGACACTACTACTCAACTACTACTATTATTATACATCAATGCAAAAAATTACTGTATTTTCAAGTACATATTTAATCAATAAATCAAAAATATCTTTAAAAATCTAATTTTCAGAAATGTCTGTTAGTCTGTATGTGGCTAAAGTATGTTGAGATCCGTTCATCTTATTGTCATCGCATTTGGAATTTGTATCATTAAGATCCCAAGGAAGTGCACTTTCGAATTTGAAGCGATTTGGACATGTTATACATTCAATATTAATGGTGACCAGCACTCTGTAATAA